GTACGCATGACGGGACGACGACCAAACGGCAAATCTACGATCGATCAGCCACGCGGCATGCCTAACCCTAACAGGCGATGGGCTGGGAACAACAATGGAACGCAGGCAAAAACAACAGACCACACCTGCGGAGGGTCTTGTATGATATTCTGCATATGTTCATATGTTCATGCCATCGTGAAGCCGTCTTCGCCTTGTCCGGCGAGAGCTGAAGTTGGCGGGCGGTGAGGGCGAGCGTCTTGAATAACTGTCGCCACGTTCAAGGGCTGCTGGAGGCCAGCGCAGCGACGTCCGACGCGGACTTCGACTACCACCCCCTGGATAGAACGTGGTGATCGGCACTATGCCAGGGAACACCCCCTGGGTCTTCGCCAATCGAAAGAGAACTCAAGCATCGACCTTCGATCGATCCCAAGTAACTCCCAGACAGAGTCGTGCCCCGAACGGAGGAACGGCGACGGGGGGTGGACAAGACGCGCGGATGTTAGGACAGCCCAAACGAAGGCGCCACTCTTTGGCGGTGTGAAAAACGGTCGGAAAATACCCTGCGAGGAATTCTCAGGCGATGTTGCTGCTCTCAAGCGGCATGAAGATGGATCGGACTTTTTGGTCCCGAGGAACTCCCACGCGAAATCGCCACTTTCATATGCCGCGGCAAATTTTCAGATCGCCCCGGAAGGCGATCTGACAGTTTTTGTTGCGGAAGTCTCAGGCGGAATCGCATTTTCAGACGCTGACCCTACTTGGCTGTTATAATATCAAAAGAAGTGAGAGATGCATCTGAAATTCCCAAATCGGCCCCGAGTCCAACATTGTCCCGGGGCCCTGTGGCCTAACGGGAGGCCAACCGCGTCTCTCTCGATCCCCACGGTCTCCACTTTTTAATCCAGCGGGTTGTAGACCTCGCCATCCCCTGGGGAGAAGCTGCGGAATGTGGAGCTGGCACCACTTTCAAGGGTTGCTTCGGGGGACAGCACATTGATGCCTCACGCTGATTCGTACTAAACCTCGCCATCGCTGGAGGACCATGCAGCATTCACGGCGGAGTCGTCGTCGAACTCGGGTGATAGGACACCGACGACCTGGACTACCTTTGGGTCTCTGGTTGCATCTTCACGTGATGCTCTCCAAGGCCACGGCGACCCATCATCTCTTCATGACATGGGACCTGGACCTGGCGTTCCTTTTCCGCAGGCCGCCCGCCAATCTGGCGGCGCGCTTGCGCATGTTTCATTCCCGCGCTGGCAACGGCGCAGAAAAGAAACCGCGTTGCTGGCAATGCAGCTCGGCCTCGCTCAATTCTTGCGCTGACTCTATAAACAACCGTTCTCGGGATGCCGTTCCTCATGGGCGAGAACTGAGACGGTAGTTACCTCCTCTTTCCTCCTTCCTCCTTGGTCGTCGTCTTTGTCCCTCCTGCTGCTGCCGGCTCGACGACACATCGTCCTCCCCATGATCCTCTGTTTCCGCTTGGTTCCCGCACCTTCCCTCGGGGATGGACAGACCCCCCTTTAGTAAAACGTGGTTGAGTGAAAACGACCTGAGGCCCAAACCTGGCGGGCGCAAGCCTGGAAAACAACGGCCACGGCGCCCTCTCGAGAACCGAAAACGGACAATTCACTAATCGACGTGTCACTGTTGGGGGTTCTGTCCACCCCCGATTCCCCCTCCGGGCCTAGGCGCTACAGCTGTCTGCCCCGCACGGCGCGCGAGCCCCCTTAGGTAGTTCTCACGGCACACGTCGGTCCTGTCCACGTCACCATCCAGCACAACGTTGGCCAGCTGTTCGGATCAGCCGTTGCAGGTGGACTGCGTCCGACGCAGGGCAACGGCCATTTCTGCCCTGGGGTCTGGTCCTGCCTGGTTTGAAGGGGCCCAAGGACACACAAACAAATACACACAAATGAAATGTTTCCCCATAACCTCATGCCCGTGAGAATAAACACTAGGGGATAATAAAGTTCGGGGTTCAGGGATAGATAATAAAAGTAGCCCAGCAGACCTCAGCATAATCTCGAAGTAAGAGATGATCAAGAGGAGACCAAGCCGAGCACGTTTTGAGACATCCTTGGCGTTTAGTTTTCATAGAAATATCCTCAACAATGGCTTATCTCTCATGAAAATTGTTTTTTTTGTAAGTGCTCGTGTAGGGTAGCTCATGTGCCTCGATTTCCATGGATAATCAACCCCAGAGATAAAAAAGTTCAGGCGAGCGTGGGGACAGAGAGAAATATAAAAGAAGAATAATACAGTAGAATAATAATAAGAAAGAAGAAGAAGAGGATAATAAGAAGAGGACGAAGAAAGGAAAAATCCAAAGTTCCAAATCTATCAATTTTAATTTACAAACGCTTTATGAAAATTGATTTTTTTAAGTGCTCGTGTAGGGTAGCTCATGTGCTTCATTTTCCATGGATAATCAACCCCAGGGATAAAAAAGTTCAGGCGAGCGTGAGGACAGATAGAAATATAAAAGAAGAAGAGGAAAGTAGAAGAATAATAAGAACATTGCTCGTTTCGTTTGAGTCTGCCTCCCAAAATTATTGGTTTCGCTTGACACATCCTGAAAAAGTGTGATCGCTTCGCTTGATGTTGCTATATCAACATCGCTTGATGTTGCTATCTCAACATAGCGTTTCGAGGTGATAATGAAGTTCGGCCTCAGCGCTCGCCGCCCAATTTGAATTTTGTATAGGGCGACGATAATCAACTCTAAACACTGAAGGGGGGGGGGGTCCCTTTATTATCATCGGCATGCGGTTATTTTTCCATATTTTCTGGGTTTTTGTCTTCCCGCTCAATTCCCATATTTTCCCATATTTTCCTGGGAGTCGACGATTAATTGTGTCTGTGTGTTTTCTTCCCTCCTGACTGTTGGGCCCGCAGTGCCTCTGTGCACCACAGCGCCTGTGCACAACACGACACACGTGCACCACCGAGCCTGGCGCTCTGGACCGCCACGCTGCCTGCGCACACCACGCCCCGAGGGCCCCGCTGGGGCCCAAGCCCTGCAGCATCGCGGTGGGCCCGGCCGCATCGAGTTCGGCATCTAAGCTGATCGTGGCGACTGCTTCTTCTGGCCCAGAATCCGGTCCACGCCGTACCTCGGGCCCGCAGTGCCATCGTGCACCACACCGCCCGAGTGCGGCACGAGGACTGCACCGCCACAACAGCCCTGTGCACCACAACGCCATGACGCCTGCGTGCACCCCAATGCCTGTGCTCACCCCCGTGTACACCACAAAACTCGTATACACCCCCAAGGTCCCGACGGGGTCCAACTTCCGGAAAACGGAATCTTGGCGTGCCCAGGCCTGATACATTCATTTGTAAATCATTTACGATCATTAATGTTTCTTGCATGGGGCACGGGACCACTCCGTGCTCGGGGGCCGCAATGCCTGCGCGCACAAGAACGATTATGTACAAACAGATGCTCTGCTGTCGCAGCAACCGTGTGCACCACAGCGCCTGGCGCGTGCGACCACCTCAATCCCTGCGTACACCACAGAGCCTGTGTCCCCCAGAGGGCCCAGACGGGGCCCCCACTCTGGAAACTCGTGGTGGGCCCGAACCTCTCAAATCCAACGTGGAGGTTATGAAAACAAAGTGTTGGGCGTGCCCGCGAGCGCTGCGGGACGCTTCGTCGCTGCTTGGGCGAGGTGTCCTTCTCGCGTGCAGCTGAGGAGAGCGAGCGCAGCGCCGCGCCGCCTCACACCGCACCTCCGGCGGCGGGCTCTCGAAGCGCGAACCCGCATCAGAGGTCACTCTGGTGAAGAGCCACTCCTGCGCGTACGCTCGACCAGGATAGCAAAGAAGCGCGGGCAAGGATGCAAGGGCCTTGGAGCGCCATGCTGACGTTTTCCGTGCGGGGCGCAGCAGCATGCCGAAGGATGCCGAATACAGAAGGGGCAAGGATGCAAGGGCAGCCTTGGAACGTTGCCCCCGACCTTACTATCATGGCTGACTGTAGCCGGGGGGGGGGGTCAGCTCTCGAGCCACAGCTCGGGCCGCCGGCGGCCGTTCGGGACGACCCGGGCACTCCTGGGGACGCTCTCGCCGAGGCGCAGCTGCCAGACGGCACCCCGAGGCTGGAGGACCGGAACGATCCGGCAAGTGGAGGCCTCCAAAAACGGGGCCCGAAAATCGGCGGTGGACAAACCTCCCTGTTGCAAACCACCCTCTAATGAAAACGGCCTGGGACCAAAACCGCCGGACCTGGACCCGCCAAAACGACGGCCGCGACGCCCTCTTGCGAACCGAAAACGGCCAATTCACTAATCGAAGTGTCAGGGTAGGAGGTCTGTCCACCCCCAAGAGTAGATGATGTCAGAGGACCGCGCCACAACGCCGACGCATCGGGATGCCTCGGCGCCATCGGCGTGGAGAACACCGGCCTCCACATCGAGCCGCATCGGCGATGCATCGGCGACGCGGCTCGATCCTGCAGACCCATCTGCTCGGACCCGATCCGGGATGCCCGGAACGAGAGCGCCCCCAGAGACCTAGGTCCAGACTTATGTTGTTCCCATCGTACTTAGGACCACATCCCAGAAATAATTTCGAGCACCCGGAAAAGTGTCGAAAGAGTGTCGAAAGAGTGTCGAAACAGTGTCGAACAGGGCCCGACACGTGAAAACCCTTGAGTTTTTGGGTGCGCTCGAAATTCTTTCTGGTGATCAAGGCTAAAATAGGTAGGAACATCATAAGTCCAGACGCGCAGCCGACCGAGGCGAGAGGCCGCTCTTGCGCGGAACCGACTCTCCGGATTCCGCTCGGGCGGGGTCAGGAAACGTGTAGTCGAAGGACCACACCGCATCGGCGCTGCATCGGCGCTGCATCGGCGCTGCACTAGCGACGCCGGGATGGAGCGCCTCGGGCTCCGCATCGCCGATGCATCGACGCGGCCGGCCGCGGCGAAGGGCCACGCTCGCGAACAGCCGGCTCTGGGGCCCTCGGGCGAAAGCGCGCGCGCGCGTCCGCGCGGAGGGGGGCCCGACCGGGAGGGCCGCCTCGACGACAGAGGTGCCTGCGTGCGGCGGCGGGGGTCAGAAGCGAGGCTGGATGAGACGAAGCAAGAGCTCGCTCAGCGCTCCTCCTACTGCTCGCTCCTCGCTCCTCCTGCCTCGCACTCCTCCTCCTCCTCCTCCTCCTCCCTCATCTTTCCTCTCTACTCTCTTCTCCTTTTACCCGATATGCATACCACTGTCTTCCTCCCCAAGCAACATCCTGGAAGTGTCCCGCTTTCCCTGTCTGGTTAGTGCACGCTCGACTTCAAACCTCGGTATGTCATATTGCTGTTATCAATCGGAACGTCTTCGGTGATTCAGAATGGTGTTCCCGCAGCAATGCGTGCGTCATTCAAGAAAGAGCGCTTTGCGTCGTTCAGAATGGCGCTCTCTCCCTGGCGCGGGCCACTTTCCTTCTTGATCCGAACCCTTCCTCGTCGTTGTCGTCCGGAACCTTCCCCCTCCTCCACCTTCCGCTAGTCCACCTGCTCCTCCTGCTCCTCCCACTCCTGCTCCTGCTGCTTCTGTTCCTCCTCGTCCTCCTCCTTCATCATCCTCATCCTCTTCCTCCTGCTCATCCCACACCACCTCCTTTTCCTCATTCTCCTCCCCCTCCTCCTTTTCATCCTCCTCTTGCTTCAATCTAAACACATCCTTTTGATCTGACTGCGCATAACAAGATGGTTTCATGGTACCAGGTCCGCTATGACACCTGCCGGCGGATATAGAAATTCAGCGCAATGGGAAGGGATGTGTGGGAGGGATAGGACGCTAGATCTGGCGCGACCGCGCCTAGCTTGCCTCTCTCCCCTCTCCTCCTTCGTCCTCCTCATCCTCTCTCGCCCTCATCTACCATCCTCTACCCTCCTCCTCCCCCTCCTCTCTCCCTTACTATTGTCAGATATCCTCCTCCTCTCTCCTCCTCTCTCCAAATTTATCCTCTCTGCGATTACTCGATATGAAGACTGCTCTCCTTCCTCCCCCGACTACGTGCTGAAACTATCCTGCCCTCTCCATATGTTGTTCCTGGGGCACCATCTTCCGATTGCTTCTCTATGTTCGCTAATATTCGAAACTTATTCGGTTCTTCAGAAAAGTGTTCACGCTGCTGCGTGGGCCTCGTTTTAGGAAAGGCGCTTTGCTCCCGTCGTGCAGAACGGCGTTCTCGCACCAACGCGTGCGGCCACTTTTCTGGGTCCGGAAACTTCAATCGTCGTTGTCGTCCGGCCCCTTCCCCTCCTCCACCTTTCTCTAATCATCCTGCGCCTCCCGCTCCTCCCACTCCTGCTCCTGCTCCTGCTGCTCCTGCTCGTCCTCCTCCTTCCTCACCATCCTCCTCCAGTGCGCAACCCAAACGATGTCCTACTGTTCTGTTTTGTTATGGTCCTGAGCATGTTTGGGTGTTCTGTTCTGTTTTGTTTTCGTTCTGGCGTTTAGAACATTCCCGAACAACGGTGAGGCCAGAACAGAACATACCCAACACATTGTACTGGGAACCAACCAAAAACATGACAACGAAGTATGTCTCCTGCACAACAAAACGCGCAACACAACGCAACGCTAGCCCGAGCCCGACAAAAACAAAACGCATGCTACTCTAAAAACCAATTGGTTCTCTTTGGAACACGAAAACGAAACAAAACAAGAACGCAACACGGGAAACATAAGAAAAATAAACGAAACGGAAAGAAGGCAATACGGAACGGAAGGAAAGCAAAATGGGACGGAAAGAAGGCAATGCGGAATGATGATAAAACTGAACATAACAAAAAAACAACATATCAAAAATGGGCAACACCGTTCCGTGACGTTTTACCCTCCCTACGTCCGCCTTGCCCTCCCTCCGTTCAATCATGCCCTTACTCCATGCCGTGTTGCCCTCTTTCCATGCCGTCTTACCCTCCTTGCGTTCCGTTTTACCCTCCTGACGTCCCGTTTGACCCTCCCTAAATCTCGTTTTACCCTCCCTACGTCCCGCTTTACCCTCCCTAAGTCCCGTTTTACCCATCCCGATGTCCCGTTTTACCCTCTCTGCGTCCCGTCTGACCCTCCCGAGGTCTCGTACTACCTTTCCTTACCCTCCCTGCGTCCCGTTTTACCCTCCCGACGTCCAATTTCATCCTCTCCGTGTACCGTTTTACCCTCCCGACGTCCTGATTTACCCTCCCAATGTACCGTTTTGCCCTCCCGACGTCCTGTTCTACCCTCCCGGTGTACCGTTCTACCCTCCCGACGTCCCGTTTTACATTTCCTTACTAGAGGAAAAAGAACTATGCACATACACCGATCCTGGCCAGGCCCATCCTGAGCCCAGGATCGGTGCATACGCCCTCCTGCCTTGGCCAGGAAGGCATATGCACCGATCCTGGGTCAAGGGTGGGCCTTGCCAGGATCGGTGCATGTGCATAGTTCTCTTCGCCCGACTTACCCTCCCTGCGTCCCTGCGTTCCGTTTGACCCTCCCGAGGTCTCGCTTTACCCTCCCGATGTCCTCTTCTGCCCTCCCGACGTCCCCGGTTTACCTCTCCGACGTCCCGCCCTCCCGACGTCCCGTTTTACCCTCCTTGCGCCCCGTTTTGCCCACCCGACGTCCCGTTCTACCCTCCGTTGTTGTCTCCCTACGTTCCGTTTTGCCCTCCCTGCGTCCCGTTTTACCCTCTCGAAGTCCCGTTTTACCCTCCCGAGGTCCCGTTTTGTCTCTCCGACGTCCCGTTTTACCCTCCCGACGCCTACATGCGTGACATTTTATCCTCAACACGTCCCGTTTTAGCCTTCCGTACCCTCCTCCCTACGTCCCGTTTTACCCTCCCGACGTCCCGTTTTACCCTCCCGACGTCCAGTTTTACCCTCTCGACGTCCAAGCTTACCCTCCCTGCGACCAATTTTACCCTCCCTGCGTTCCGTTTTACCCTTCCTTACCCTCCCTACTTCCAATTTTACCCTCCCGACGTCCCGTTTTACCCTCCCGACGTCCCGTTTTACCCTCCCGACGTACAGGTTTACCCTCCCGACGTCCCGTTCTACCTTCCCTAAGTCCCGTTTTACCCTCCCTGCGTCCCGTCTTGCCCTCCCTACGTCCCGTTGTACACTTCCTTACCCTCCCTGGGTACCGTTTTGCACTCCCTGCGTCCCGTTTTACCACTCCCGACATCCCGTTTTACCCTCCCGACGTCCAGTTTTACCCTCCCGACGTCCCGTTTTACCCTCCCGACGTCCGCTGTACCGTCCCTGCGTCCCGTTTTACCCTCTCTGCCTCCCGTTGTACCCTTCCTTACCCTCCCGACGTTCCATTTTACCCTCCCGAGCTCCTGTTTTACCTTCCCTGTGTCCCGTTTTACCCTCCCTGCGTCCCGTGTTACCCTCCCTGCGCCCCGTTTTGCCCTCCCTGCGTCCTGTTTTACCCTCCCTGCGTCCCGTTTTACCCTTCCTGACCCTCCCTACGTACATTTTACCCTCTCTGCGTCCCGTTTTACCCTTCCGACATCCCGTTTTATCCTCCCGACGACCCGTTTTCCCCTCCGGAACGTATGGAAGCGGGACGTAGGGATGGTAAAGGAAGGTAAAGCGGGACGTGGGCCCGGAATGTCAAACAAGATGTGGGGAACATGAAACGGAGCGTAGGGAGGGTAAAACGGAACTCAGAGAGGGCAAAACGAAACGTAGGGTGGGTAACACGGGACGGAGGGAAGGCAACATGGGACGCAAGGAGGGTACAACGCGGAAGAAGGTAACGCGGGACGGAGGGAGGATAAAACGGAACGGGAGGGAGGCTAACACGAGGGAACGACGGTAAAACGAAACGCCAGACAGGGAAAAACGAACGGGGAAAGGATAAGGCGAAACATAGCGAGATGACACGAAACGAAGGGAAGGTAACCCGAAAGGGAACGAAGGTAAAACGAAAGAGAGGGAGAGCAACACAAACAAAGAACGGGCAACACGGAAGAGCATAACAATCAAAACAAACACGCGCTGAGCGCACTTTCAAGAACAGCACGCCAGACATGATTACCCCGAGTCGCAACACAACAAACCACACCACCAGCTGCAGTGAAACATCCACACACAACAAACACAACACGATGCGTCGCAGGCGCCGAAACATAACATACAACATAACGCACGCTCCGACCTCCGATGGGCGTCGTTCTCCAGATTCGTTTAAGCCGCAAACAAAACACGTTTAGAACAAACAACAAAGCAACACAACAAACCACTCCAAACACACAGCATAACAACGTTTAGGTCGCGCCCTAACCTCCTCTTTATCCTGCTCATCCGCCTGCGCATCCTCCTCCTCATCCGCTTGCTGCTCCTCCTCCTTCTCCTCCATCCCCATCTCCTCCTTCTCCTCCTCCTAACTAGATGGTGTCATTGCGGGAGTTACAGGTCCGCTATGCAAAGGTTAGCGGATATAACAAAAACCATCAGCGCAATGGGAATGAAAGGGTGAGGGGAAACATATCCGATCTGGAGTGAGCGCATCTAGCTTGTCTCTCTCCTCTCTCCTCCTCTGTCCTCCTCATCTTCCTCATCGGTCTCTCTTCGCTGTCCTCCCCTCCCCCTCTCCGTCATCACACCAGCAATTCGGGCTCAGGTGGTCTAGCGATGTCGTTCCTTCCTCTTCCAGAACCCTCTTCCGGTTGGGTAGGGGTCCCTTTCCCCTTCCCTCCCTGAGGTTTTTCGGGGGGGGGGGCGCGAGGTGACAGAAGATCTTTTTCGCCCAAGACGGCTACGGCAGGTTCGTGTCGTGCCGACCGCAGCGTTGGTTTCTGACACCGCGCTGGATCGTTCAACCTTGAACGATCGGCCGTTTTCGAAACGTCCAATCGTTCCACATCGATCGATTCTGGGTCGCCCGCGGCGTTCAACCTTGAACGCCCGCGCTGGGGTCGCCGCGGGTCGACACGACGCAAACCTACCGTACAAGATAGCAAGAGGGTGAGCAAGAGGAGCAGCACCAGGAGGAGGAGGAGGAGGAGGACGAGGAGGAGGAGGAGGACACGATAGCCTCCAAGATCGCCCGAAGATGGCTCAAGACAGCGTCCGACACACCTCCGAGAGGCCCGACGAGGGCGCGCCACAGGACGGTCCCCAAGCGCTCTCGAGGCCTCGGGGACCCCGCCTCCAAGGGGCCCAAATCCTTCAAAAACCCACGGAGCATCAACGAGTTATGCCTTCTCTAGGGGGAAAACTAACCTACCTCGCTTTTGACCACCCTCGCTTCCAAGAGATACCAAACGATGCCAAATTGCAGCCTGTACTGGTCAGGCCGCCTGACGAGGAGACGCGTGGTATGGCTTGGCGTTGCCTGGAAGCGAAAGCGGGGAAGGTAATTCACGCTCTGATTCTCGCCTTTTCGCTTCCAGTGCGCGGTGAAGTCCTCAAGATGGTCCAAGAGAGGCGAGAGGCCCAAGAGGGGGGCCCAAGAGGACTCCGAGACGGCCCCAAGAGCGCCCAAGAACGGCGCAAGAACGGCCCGAGAGGCGATTTCAAGGGCTCGTGGGGGGGGGGGGGCCAGGTAAAGGGCACCCCCTTTGATCGATGACCTCCAAGATGGCCTCACGAGGCCCTCCAGGGCTCCCAAGGGACCCCCAAGAGGGCACCAAGCTCTAAGAGCGCTCCAAGAGCGCCCCACGAGGGCCTCATGAGGCGGTTTGCCTCATCCTTCTCCTCCTCTTCCTCCACTCGCCCCCCAGCGGGCCCCAAGGATGGCCCGAAAAGGCCATCCAAAACCACCGCCTTGCTCCCAGAGATCTCTCTCTCTTCGTACTGATTGCACGCTTTGTTTCACTATGTGTGTCCCTTCTCTGGGGAGGGTTTCAGAAATGGCTGGTGGGGATAAGCGAAATGTGAAGAATTACTCCATATAGATATGATTCGCCTCTTTCCCCGGATGCGATGGTTACGTTCCCCCACTTATCCAACATTATATATTCTTACACACCGTATTGTCCCAAGTTGGATTCCGACATAGTTGTTCTAATCAAAACGTCATCGGCCTTTCAAAATGAGCTCCCGCTGCAGCGTTTGAGTTGGCCACATTGTGGGATCGGGGCTTTATTCCCGTGGTTCAGAATGGCGCTCTCGCTTCAGCGCGGGACATGCTTCTGGACATGACTCCTGCCTCGATGTTGTCGCCTCCCTCCATTCCCGTCCTCCACCTTCCTCTGGTCCTCCTGTTCCACCGCTCCTCTTATCTTTGATCATGCTTGGGGCGTCTTGCACGTCAACATAAGCAAGGGGGGAGGCATCATATAACCGTCCTGCGGGACTCTCCGACTGTTTTCGTGGCCTGCCGAACCAGTTGGGGGCTCTCTGAAGCCGTCTGGGCATCATGTGAGGGCCTCTTGGGGCGACCTGGGGGGTCTCTGAGACAGTCTTGGCCTGTTGGGTGCCTGACACGAGAGCAATCAAGCTCTTCGAAGATTGTAAATTTTACATGAGTTCGATATTTTGTACGTGCGGAAGCGGTCGGGGATATGATTGAAGCCACGTCAACCAGATTGAGGCGCTCGAAGCGCTCGTGTTGTGTTGATGCGTTCTTGGAATGTTTTGGGGCTGTCTTTTTTCCTCCTCTCAGCAGAACATTGGGCCCCGCCCCGCGAACCGCGAGGCGTCGGGGTGCTCCTGCGTGCGTAGTCGTGCCAGCGAACTTGCACTTGCGCCAAAAGCGCACGCGGACCTTTTTTTTCCTCCTCTCAGCAAAGAGGGGCCCCGCCCCGCGAACCGCGAGGCGTCGGGGTGCTCCGAGCGTGCTCATGCGTGCGCAGGCGTGATGCCAGTGAACTTGCACTTATGCCAGGCAGCGATCATGCAAAAGCGCACGCGGACCACTTCCGACCGGAGAAACATGGAATTCGATAGGGAAGAAGAGGAGGGCAGAGGGAAGAGTGGGTGATTCGCAGCGGCGGGAGAACGATATATGAACAGAAAAAAGGGCAACGCAGACGGGCTTACCGTCGCGCTGCGCAAGGGCACGCGTGTGTCTGCCCCTCTCCGCCAGGAGCGGCAGCACGAGTGCGCGTGCAGCCCCTCCGGGACCACACCCACGAAAAGGCACGCATCGGAGCGGCATGCGCGGACCGACGTGGCGCTGCTGCCGAGCACGTTTTCGCCCCAACCACCCAGGGGTTGTGTCTGCGTCCCCCCCACCCAATACCCATCTTCTTCGCCCCGCGTTGCTCGGGCGCCTGGATGCCCAGGTGTTCGTCACCGCCCGCCGCGGGATCAGAGGCCAGAGGCGTCAAGGGTCAGTGCGCCCCCCGCCGCCGTCTTCGGAGACCAGAGAGCTGTTCGTCACCGCCCACCGCGGGGTATGAAGCCATCGACGACTCTGACCGTGAGCGACGACTGGCGCGTGAGCTCGTCGACGTCGGAGGGGTGCGGCGGCACGAAGTCGGCGGCGAGGAGGAAGAGCGACCCGAGGCAGAAGGGAGCCGTGAAGGGCACGAAGCCTCCCTGAGCCAGGAGCTCTGCCATGGAGTGCTGCAGGAACACGGTGACCACCGCGCCGCACACCCCAGCGCACCACTGAAGAGGTCCTCGGCTTCCGAAGACCCCTCCCCCGATGGCACAGCAGGTCAGGGCCGGGTTGAAGCCCCACAGCTCGGCGTGCACGCCGACGGGGTTCCCCCCAACGAGCAGCGCGGTGGCGCAGCCGGTCGCCGAGCCCAGCGCCGTGAGCAGGGCGCACGCGGGCGAGCAGAGGCTCATCGCGACGAGGATCATCGCTCCGCTCAGGGTGCTCTGGGCGAGGTAGATCTGGCCCACTCCGTGCAGGGTTGCGACTAGGAAGCCCGTGACGTAGTCCAGCGCTGTGTCGCACGAGTCGCCTGAGAGCTCTCGGATGCAATAGTCCTGTGGGGTCATCTGGCCGCCCGTGGCATCCATCAATCCAGGCACCAATGCAGAGCTGAACCGCGTGTACGAATGGGCGACTCCGAGGAGCCGCATGACGCATATGTTGAACGGTAGCGTGAGATATGGCATAGGCGTGAGCCAGCCAGCGACAGCCGTCTGAACGATGCAACAAAGGATTGAGAATATCGTGACCATGATGGCCTGCTCGACATTGGACTCGAGTTTGTCATCGGCGATGAAAGTCGCGACGCCGAGGCCGACAAGGAAGCCGTTGAAGCCGAACAGCCCGCTGTCTACACCATCGTAGCCCTTGTAGCACTTAGCGCGCAGCACCTTCGCAGTGCCCGTGCTCACGAGTACGCCGAGAAGACCATGGAGGGAAACGCGCGTGTCGAAGATCATCAGGGCAACCATGATCACCAAGCCAGACACAGGGTTGTTCATGAAAACCACCTCGCTGATGCCACGGAAGCACTGGTCCAAGTAGATCAGCCCCCTCGTCACTTTTGGCGCATGCATCTCACAACTTTCCTCCATGTCTCCCAGCGGCCACGGCCAGATGCCTGACTCCCAGCAGACATTGAACATCTCGATCGCACCGTCCATGAGCGGACACAACTTTGCCATGCCCCAGGCGATACTGGGCTGGGGCTTGAAACTGGGGCTCGAAACTAATTCGGCACTGGAAGTGCTTGGGCGATACCGCACTCGGGCGTGGGCCAGCATCTTGAGCCAAAATGGCTACGGAACGTTTTGGGGCTGTCTTGGGTTGTCTTTAGAGATTGTGCAGGGACCGACCGCAGTCCTGTAGGCCTACTACGGAGCTTTCGCAGAACAGAATAATGTTCCAACAACAAGGCGATGTTGTAACATACAACCGGGAAACTTAGACAATACTGTCTCAGCCCAACGAAGTTCTCAGAACACTTCGTGCAAACCACACACTGTTCTCAGAACATTCTATGGTGGGCCTGAGGTCTGGACGCTTCGCCATTGCTTGAGAAGGCAATCTTGGGCAGGCCTGCGGCATGCTTCGACGACGTACTGGGGTCGTCATGTGTTTCTCACGGCTGCGCAGGGGGCCGTCTCGGGGAGCGTCTTGGGCCGTTTCGGAAGCCGTCTTGGTCTGGCGTCGGGTCAGACCCCCCAAGAGGCACCCAAGACGCCCAAGCTGGCCTCCAGACGGCCCCCAGGACGCCCCAAGAGGGCTCCGGGAGGCTCCCCAACAGGGCCTCGAGATGCCAAACATATTGTTGTTACTTCTGCTTCTCGCTTTCTGGCTTCCGACGCTCTAAAACGGCCCAACAAGTTCCCACGATCGCCCCAAGCGGCCTCAAACAGGGCCACCAGGACCAGGATGCCTGCAAGGGCCTCAGAACGCTCCCAGGACGGCCCCAAGAGGGATAATTCGATATGACACTTCGCAGCCTCCTCCACAAGATGACACCAGGCCCCATAGAGGCCCCCCAGAAGACCAAGGGGGCTCAAACCGAGCCAGAAACTAAAACTCTCCAGAGGTCTTCGAGAAGCTCCAAGACATCCCCAAAATGAGTCCAAGAAGCTTCCTAGAGGCCTCCAAAGAAATCCCTGCAAGCACCTACGGAGCCTACGACCTACAACTTAAGCACGGTGGCGGGATGGTCCGAATGCCACTGTATCCGCCGACCGTGCGCGCGGGCAAACGACTTAGTGGTCCGAGTCGCCGGCCCCTGGAACGCTTAAGCGCCAAAAGGGATCAGGCGAGCGGGGCGTCTTCCTAAGAATGCCGAAGGTCCGTAGGAGGTAATTAACAGAGGCGTCGGAAACAAACCCAAAAAAACTGCCATACAATTATCCCGGTGCGACCCTTCCTAGGTTGGAGCCCCCAGGAAAGCAGCATAAACTAAACTAAGCTAAGCTAAGCTAAGCTAAGATGGCTAAGCTAGGCTAAGCTAAGATGAGATAAGCTAAGCTAAGCCAAGCTAAGCTAGGCTAAGCCAAGCTAAGCTAAGCTAAACTAGGCTAAGCTAAAGTGAGATAAGCTAAGCTAGGCTACGGTAAGGCAAGCTAAGCTAAGATGAGATAAGCTAAGCCAAGTTAAGCTAAGCCAAGCTAAGCTAATCTAGGCTAGGCTAGGCTAGGCTAAGATAGGCTAAGAGGAGATAAGCAAAGCTAAGCTAAGATAAGCTGAGCTAAGCTAAGCTAAGGTAAGCTAGCGTAAGCTAAGCTAAGCTAGGCTAGGCTAAGCTAAGCTAAGAAGAGACAAGCTAAGCTAAGCAAAGCTAAGCTAAGCTAACCCTCTAGGCAGAGCCTAGGTAGGGAACCCCGGTTGCCGGGGGAACCGCGGAGCGGATCCTGGGGGAACCGCCCGGGGCGATTTACAATGCCCGGCCCCTTAGGCTCACAGGGTAAGAACCCTCTAGGCAGAGCCTAGGTGGGGCAAAAAGCCATCCCTGTCAAGCGCCACCATTTTCCGCACGCGTATCGCTGTCGAGTGACCTTCGGGACATCCTGCCACCGTGTCTGAATCGTGGGTCAGAAGCCCATTGGCTGCGTCTCGGGATCACATGACAGACATGCTCTTCGGGAGCATGTTGGAGGCCTCTTGCGGGCGTCTAGTAGCCTTCTCTGGCGCCATTTTGAAGCACCTTCAGAGCCTCTTAGGGGCGTATTGGCAGTCTTGGGAGCCATCTTGTGGGGCAACTCGCCGAAGGCGCTGCGCTTTCCCCCCCTTGGGTTCGCTTGTAAGCTTCTTGGGCCATCTCGGGGGCCTCTCGGGCCGTCTTGGGGTCCACTTAGGCCCTTCTGGAGCTGCCTGGGAGCCTTTTTGGCTGCGGCGGGGAGACCTCGAAGGCCTCTTTGGCCCGTGCACAAGATCGGAAGCCGAAAAGGAAAGACACGTTCAATCCGGAAGAAACAATGGGGAAGTCAATTATGTTGTTCTTGTTGAAGGTTGAAGCCCGTCGCGGGGCCCTCTTGGAATTCGCTTCGGCTCTCTTGGGGCCTCGCGGGCCGCGTCGGTGCAATGTCGGGCAATAGATATTATCCTGAGGCCCCTGCGCCGCATGCCTGCGAGAATATCCAGACGCATCAGCTGAAGCGGGCCCGAAGCTGCAAGCACAGGATGGACCCCGAGGGCCCGCAAGGTGACGCCCCACAGGCGCTGACAGAGGCGAATCCGAACATCATCGGAGCAGGCGCAACAACGTTCAGACTTGAAAGACGGCTAGCGCTACGCTGGCCTCTCTCGTGGACGGATCTCTTCTGCCCGCTGGAGATCGGACGGTTGGTAGGTGGGGGAAGGGATGGCAGACGTGGGAGCCATCATGATTACAGCATGCAACTAAAGACGCAAGCAACGGCATGCTACACAGGACATCTGAGAAACCACATCAAGATATTAGAATTCTTCTGAGTCCCCTAAACCGCATGCCAGCGAGAATATCCAGGCGCAGCAGCTGAAGCGGAGCCGAAGCTGCAAGCGCAGGATGGACCCAGAGGGTCCAAAAGGCGACACTCCACAGGCGCTGACAGAGGCGAATCCAAACATCATCGGACTACGCGCAACAGCGGTCATACTTCAAAAACGGCTAGCGCTAGCCTCTCTCGTGGACGGATCTCTTCCGTCCTCTGGAGGCCAAACCTCCCGAACTCCTCGGGACTGGTCGTGAGACAACCCTTGGAACGACTGCAACAGGGCCGCAGGCAATGGATATTCACTATGCGTTGCGCTGCTAATCTGCGATGGAGCGCGCTTCTCGAGCTGCTTTAGAAGTTGAGCATGTTTCTCATTGCGCGAGACGCTCTTGAAACTGATCCAACGCCCGCGCTTCTGGATTGACTGAAGACCGGCCTTCTTCTCGAACCTGTCGCTCGACGGGCCCGAATGTCTCGGCCAACGCGGGAAACTTTCAACGGCCTGGAGCTTCATGCGTTTAAAACTGTTATTGAACTATCTCTCGTACGTCGCGAGGTCGACATCGAACGCAGGATTGCCAGCAATCACCGAGTCTTTCAGGGCTGCAGCTATGTCCCGAACCCACTCGCGACCGCGAACACCAACATCTACAGTGTCATCTGTCTGTCCTCCCTCAGTCCGCCACCCCGACTCTATCGGAGCAAAAACTACTGCCCAACGGCCGGCAAAGGCACGGCCTGCAGCGGGCTGACTGCGAAGGATGTCTGCCTCAGTGATTGCGATCGTCTCCGACGGCCTCGAGCAAAGATCGGTCTGAAGCACTGCGCGTGCCGCCATTAGAATCAAGCCACGGTGCAGCATGTCAGAGGCTATCGCGTAGACCAGGATGAGGGGGCACGGCAGTCCCACTGTGCCTGGGTCAGCACGCTCCCAGCCTTTCAACTTACGACGGGCGCGAGGCAGCAGCTGGCGACCGCCATGAAACCGATCACCCCGTAGCAGGATCCAGCCAAACAGACCGTTGCGCCCCGTCCCGGGGCCCATGCCATCAAAGAACATCGAAGCAAACCACTGAACCATATTCTCATCAGCGTCCGCACGCGCGTTCCACCACCGACCCCCCTCCCCGCGCCAGGTCTCAAAGCTCGCGACCGCGCTCCGATACAACTGTAGTGCGGAAGATGCTGCAGACATCTGCCGCATGGAATCCGCGCGAATGCGAGCGCTATCTGCAGCGCGGCGACGGCGGCTGGCGGCCTTAGCCTTAGCCGAGGCCCGGCGGCGGTACAACGGGGAGGCCGAGGGCGTCGCCGCGACGCCTGAGCCATGCCCGCTCTGCGGCGCCTGTCCTGCCGAAGAGTGCGCCGTGCTGCGCGAGGTAGGCGCCGGCAGCCCCGCATGCCGCGTCGCGTCCTGCTGCCTCGTCAGTGGCTGGAACATGCCGCCCGCTCGCGGAGGCCCGCGAGGGCGTCGCCAGCGCGCGGAGGCCAACGAGCCACTCGCCGCCCCAGGGAGCTCCATCTCCCCGCGCGGCCGGCCAGATGTGCAATCTTGCTGTGAAGAGAAGCCCATCTCGAGCACAAGGCGACGGGGCACTGACCCACGAGCGCCGATAGGTTGCGCCAGACGTGACCCCCAGAACCATCGGGAACTCGAACTTTACCCACATGAGCCTCGTGACGACTACGAGTGCAGGGAGCCTCCAAGCCCTTCGACTCTGGAGTTCGAGAGCACCAAAGTCCACTTCTGATGAGGAGCCCCGTAAGTACACATAAAGAACCCCACCCGTTGAGCCCCTCGAAGACCCGCAAGACGCCCCGCACGAGGGAAGCTCCAAAGGCCGGACGTCATTGGGTTCTCGATACTCCAGCCCACTGCACACCGTTGACACTCTCGAACCAGCTCCAACGCAAACAGCGCAAGCTCCACCCCAAGACGTTCCGTAGCTCGGGCACGACGTAAGTTACGAACCCCTCGACGAGCGACGCTCCACGAACGACATGGCGCCCCAAGATGCACAGCCCAGATCCTCCCAGATCGCACTCAAGACAGGACCATCTTTTGAGTTGTTCGCCACGTCAAGTCGAATTCAGCTCAGCGCTTGATATGCATCGGCGCCAGTACTCGCAAACCAGCCCCTCGCACTGCAGCGGCCAGCCCCGCCTCGCCAGCGAAGAGCTCCAAACAGACGCGAGCGTCTGGAGAAGGAAGAGAGTGTGCAGCAATAACTTCTTCATACTCGATATGTAGTGGGACTCTGGATGATAGGCTAGATGGAGAAGAAGGCGAGGCAGAAGGACAGCGGCCCGCCGCAGGCGCGACGGCGGCGATCCGAGGAGCCACCACCTGACGCTCTCGCTTCTTCTGAGACATCCACTCAGGGTCTGGGGCCTGGGGCCGCCGAGACCCAGCGTCTGAGACGTTCAAATCTCTCGGGGCATGCTTCGCACCCCGCCGCGCGCGGCAGCCGATGCTGTAAGCGGCGGCCTTCCGACACAAAGAGTTGGGCACATGTGACCGAGCTCGGCCCTTGCCGAGGCAACGGCAGCACGCCAAGCTATCGCAGAGACTCAGACAGCGGTGGCCATGGATGGCCTTCACTCGGCAAAAACGCCTGAGACCCGCCACGCAGATTCTGCCCCCCTTCACGTTGATGTGCTCATCGTAGCGCCAGCGGCCCTCCACGGCCGCAGCCCAGCCCTCCGCGTCGGTGAGAGCGGCGGGGAGGGCGGGCACCGCGTTCAAGAGCTCGACCTCCCGTCTCTGGCCCGGGCGGCCAACCCCGCGGCCGCGCGGGGGCCCCTCGCCCCGAGCCCGGCCAGCGCGACGGAACAGCAGCTTCCCCAGCTCGGTGTCGCGCCAAGCTCAAGCGGGCCCTCCAGCACGAACACCGACGTCAGCGTACTTCGCCGCACCCTCAGCCAGCCTAGATCCGAAGCCGTATGTGACGCCTCGGAGCTGGTGGAGGTAAGCCGGGGTGTAGACGCCAGTGCTAGCGTCCGCCTCGACCTCCACGGAGCGCCGGCGCCCCCGCCAGCGATAGGCGCCCCGGACCGCGCGAAGCAGCCCCCCACCCGTGCATCACGCTGAACCCGCCCGAAGAAGAGTCCGACACGTGAACCTCGTCGGACAGAGGGGCGCCCAGGTCGACCTCGGTCAGAAAGCAGGCGATAGCCGCCATCCGCAGCTCGCCTCTCACCAGCGGCGGCATGGCGGCACGTCGCCGTGAGCCATCCCCGATAAAGTGGCACGCCTCATGCGGGATCGAGAGCAGGCAGGGCTGCAGCCCCAGCGGCGCCACCGCGTGACCAGCCCCGGTGCGAAGCTCAGGCCCACTGGCATGGCCTCTCTTCAGCAGGGCCTTCGCGGCGAAGTAGAACCACCGCGCGCGCCGCGGCTTCTGGCGCGCGCGGCGATCAGAGCCGCGCAGCACCAGGCCCAGGCTCTCCAGCTCCTGCACCGCAATGGTCTCCACCCAGGCACGAGGCCCGGACATGGTTGGACACCACCTCCTGCGCTAAGTAGAGCGCCCAAGCCCAACCCATGGGCAGCGCCCTCAGGCAGGGGCACGGCAGCTCTCCAGCTAACGCGGGCGTTCATGCACCAACGGAGTCGTCCCAGATGCGGCGGAGGCCCTGGTCCCAGTCCTCCAAGGGCAACGCCGAGTCAAACCCGAGCCAGCTCCCCATCTCCTCGTTGGCCAGCTGGCAGAAGCAATCCTTGACATCAGCTCCAGAGAAGCGAGGCGCGCAAACGCCTCCAAAACCGCCGAGCGAAGACGCATGGCCACTAAAGTCGATCTCCGAGAGGCAAGCAGCGCCTCCAGGAACGGTCCGAGGCGGAGGCCGATGATACATGTTGGCAACCCTAGCGTCGCAGATGAAGCGGATGTTGCCCTCTTTCCGGCGAACAGAAAAGGCGCCGCGGCGAGACTTGATCGCCCACCTAAAGCCCGATGCCGAACTCAGCAAGTCGGCGAAAAAAGTCACGTCGCAGCTCAGCATCGCCACGAAGCTGCGGGCCCCAATGCGGCACGGGCAGACCCCCGGCCTCGCGGGCCCCATCGTCCACCTCAAGCTCGGCGAGCTCGATCTGGCTCTGATAATGGCGCAAAAAAGCGCGCCGCCTCAGCTGGCAGCAACTCAGACACAGGAACTGGATGGATGTCCGCCTTGCACGCCCTCAGCTTCGTGGCGTCGTAGCTGGCCAAATGCTGCGGCTCCAGTTCGTACTGGTCAGTGGATCTGAGGATCTCCCGAAGGGGCCTCTCGCCGCCCACCGCTTCGCAGGGCGGGCTGCCGAAGGAGTCGATCCGCTCCTGGGCGAACTCCAGCACGCTGCGCTGCATTGCTGTCGGCCCGCCATGCGGCCTGACTCGTCGAGCTTTTTCGACTCCTGAATTCACGCGGGAGGCGGCGAGGTAGTTGAGCATCTCAACTGATTCCAAAACTCGTCGTTGCCGCTCAGCTCTGACTCTCCACGGTCGCGCGGTGGAGCGCGGGGCCCCAGCTGGCCTCCTCTCGACGCCCGCCGCAGGCAAGGGGAAAGGATCGCAGGGAAGCCACTGGCCTTGAGGCCACCAGCTGCGCTCGGCACCGCCTCTAGCTTCGCCGGAACGGCGCCCGCCGTCCGCGGGCTCTTGCCGCCCTTCTTCTCCCGATGGGCCTTCTTCTCCTTGTCACCCTTCTGTCGCTCGTCGCGATCAGCAGTCGGCCGATCTCGATCAAGCTCGGCCTTGCGCAGCCGCATCTGCTTCGGGATGTTGCCGCGATCCTGCTGGCGGGCAACCGCGCGTTCCTGATGCTTCGGCACCGAGGCTGACCCGCTCGCCGCAGTCGGTCCTGCGACGACGCCCTCCAGCCCCGAGAAGTCAGGGTGCCGCGGGTTCCTCTGCGCGGCCATCTCTATCTGGATGATGCGGCGCACCGCCGCCTCCACGCAGTGGAGGTTATTCACGTTGAGCTGGTCCAGGCAGATGGCCCTGCGGACGCGGTGCTCGCGATTCTGGGCGCCCCCTGCAAAGACCCCGCTGAGCCGTTCCCACTCGGCCTGGTAGCTCACAAGTTTGCCACTGCCCGTAGCGACCGACGAAAGGAACTCCCCCATCGCGCGGGGGCCGAGGTCTGGGGCGTCAGCCAGCTCCACCTGCTCCATCATCTCGACGGCGTCTCTGAAATCCACGTCACGACGCCCGAGCCTCGAGCGATGCTCCCCGATGGTTCGGATGTCGGCACCTCGCTCACGCTGGTCTCGCATCCAATCGTCACGCTCCTCGCGGTTGATCTTCGCGATCAGGCGCTCCATTCCGTCGAGGGAGATCACGCCCACCGAACGCATATGCACGCTCCTATTCGGATTCTCGATGGCCTGTTCGTCGAGCACCTCGCCGAACCTCGCGTCCCGCGGGTCACCGATCACCCAGACTGTCGCCTCCTCCTCCAAAGCGTCGCCAGCGCCGAGCAAGGCCGCTCGCTGTCGCGCCTGACGCTTCATGTCGGCCACGGGGTCCACGGGATCGAGCATAGACCCCTGCCAACACCCAATTCAGGAAGAGCTAGTCCGATCCAAGACGTAGTGACGAACCGTGTTCAGGTTGTGCCGCGTGATCTCCTTGCCGGGAATCAGGCACAACCACGCCCCATCTCCGAGATGGAAGAGGAGGACTCGATGATACCATGGCAAAGCATCGCCGCCCAGCGCCAGTCCGCCGAGCCCTGCGCCCGCGGCCGCGCCAGCCCCAGCCAGCAGCAGCCACTAGCCTCCCTCGGAGGCTAGGCAAGTGCACTCACAGGGCGGCGCAAGGCAGGACAGCGGCGGCCCAGACCCGCAGACCAGCTCTGGGCAGTCTGGGATCGCAGGAAGGCTCGGACACTGAGCCGACGCCGCCGCGGTCTGCCAATGGAGCGTTAGGGTGGTGAGATCTCTGGCCGCCGAAAGGAGGGCAGGGAGCAGCTCCCACATGCCAGAACTGGGGACCATCATGATTACAGCATGCAACTAAAGACGCAAGCAACGGTATGCTACACAGGACATCTGAGAAACCACATCAATAGATTACAAATCACTCTGGAGCCGTCTTGAGACACTTGAGCCGCCATGCAACTGTCTTGGAACGCTCCCTGAAGATCTTCCAGCCATCCTGGCCGTCCCGGAGGCTCCTGCGGGCCGCGCCACACCGCATCATTGGCGAATGGCCTTGGCGCCCCTAAGCCCTGGACCCGGCGCGTGCGTGTATATACGCGTGTGCGTACGTTGATATATGATATATGTGTACCTTGAGAGACAGAAAGAGAGAGAGAGAGAGAGAGAGAGAGAGAGAAAACAAGAGAGAGAAGGATACAAAAAAAGAAAGAGAGATAAAGAGAAAGAGAGAAAGAGAGAGAGAGAGAGAGACAGAGAGAACAAACAAACAACAACTAACAAAAACGAGAGGGCAATACAAGGCTACTGTTAGGTCGGGCATGTCCCCTTACAGGGGGATCTTGGACGAAAAATAAGACTGAACCCCCCAAATACTCAAAGATACTAGGAAGGTGCGCCAAAGATGGTCCCCAAAAACTATGTTTTGGCCACTTTTGAATCGTCCCCTCCGTAGAGGGACAGGCCCGACTTGAGGCTGCTGCATCCTGCTGGCCACCAACATGATCTGGAGGCCGCCGCCTGCACGGGCAGCGCGGACAGCTGCAATCGCTGCAGGCGCTGGGCCAGAGCCGCGGCGGCCGCCGCAGCCTCCCGCGGGCGCGCGCCACAGGAGCAAGATCAAATCGGGCCTGTCCTCCTACAGGGGGATTTTACGAAAAATAAAAAATAGTCAACAAATGCACCTAAATGGCCAAACTATGCTATAAACATCGTCCCCATACAATGTTTTGAACTATCTTTGGATGTTCCTCCAGTAGAGGGACAGGCCCGACTTAAGCGCAAGCAGAGAGGCGGTGTGCTGACCACTCGACGCGATGTCCTCCCGAGCTTTGATTGCCTCAGGAACTCCGGATCCGCAGCTCGGAGCAAGCTCTGCTGCTGGAGGAAGGGAGAAAAGAGGAAGAGAGAGAGAGGGAGAGAGAATAGAGAGAGAGAGAGAGAAAACAAAAAAAAAGACTGATAGAGAGAGAGAGAGAGAGAGAAAGAGAGAAATGAGAGAGAGAGAGAGAAAACAAACAAAAAACAAAAAATGAGAGAATGGGCGAGAGAGCGAGTGGGAGAGAGAGATCTAAGAAGGTAGGCAAGCAAATGACGACGAACGCGCAGGCGGGAGGCCGGGATCAGCGGGACGGGGCGGCATGCGGGCGGGCAGGCAGAAGACAGGAGACAACAAGCAAAAGGAGGACAAAGAGAGGGAAGAAGAGGGAAACAAAACCGTAAGCAGACGGGGCAAGCCGCACGATGTGTGCGTCAGGGTCACCGGGGGGCGAGAAGAGAAGGGGGGTAGAAGGGAAAGAACTGTAGGAGCAAGGAGGAATTCAGAGAGGATATCATCACGGATACAGAGGGATGAGCGGAGAGAAGGGTACACGCCCCACTTCCCCATGCCCTGTCCCCCCCCCACCACTAATCCCTGCGTCCTTGGCCCCTTCTGCATTCACCAATATTATCACCCTCCTTTTCCTTTTCGCCTCCTTCCTGATCTCTCCTTCCTTTTCCCTCCATCTGGCTCCCCTCTCCTCCATCCTCGACCCTACCAACAGCGCTTCTGACCCAAAGTGCTTTCTAACCCAAGGTGCCCCAATTTTTGTCGCGCCATGTGGGGGCCACTAGTACCCTCCAAGCCTCGGGATGGGTACTTCGGAAGCCGTGGGGCCTTTGTGGAAACCTTGGGACACAGGGGCGCCATCGGCAACGCCCGACCCCTACTCCTTCCTCCACGTTATCAAAAAGATGGTTTGTTTCTCTCTTTCTCTCTTTCTCTCTCATTATATGTATGTTTCCCTTTCTCTGTTTTTCTGTTTTTGTTCGTCTCTCTCTCTCTCTCTCATGACTACATCCGGAAGGTATCTGGCCCTCTTGGCTCTGACCCAAAATATTTCAAACGTCACTTCCATTATGTGCTTTCACAACCCCATTTTTTCGGAATTACAAAACGGTGCTCCCGCTGCAACGTGGGCCTTATTTATGGATCAGCGCTTTGCCCCCGTCGTTCAGGATGGCGCATTCGCCCCAGCCCGGGTCACTTTTCTGGAGCCGAATTCTTTTTCATCGTCGTCGTTCCCCTCATTTCCCCTCCTCGGCCTTCCCTTGGCTCTTCTGCTCCTCCCGCTCGTTCTACTCCGTTCCAGTTCCTGCTGCTGCTGTTTGTCCTCGTCCTCCTCGTTGCTCGCAACCCTCATTATCCTCCTGCTGGTTCCACATCTCTTCTTCCACTGTGCGCCACTCCCTTGCCGTTTTTGGAGTTCCAGGTCCGCTGTGACACGCGACGGCGGATAGAGAAAAACACAGCGCAATGGGAAGGGATGGGTGGGAGTGGTCGGATGCCAGAGAAAGCGAGACCGCCCCCAGCTTGTCATTCCTCCCTTTCCCTTCACCCTCACCACTTCTCTCACACGCGTCCCTTCCTTTCCCAATCGTTCCCTCTTCCCCACCCGCCCTCCTACCGTCCCCTTCTTCCCCCCTTGGTCCGGGGGGGCGGGGCCCCTGTCGCCCTCCCCCGCCATGTGGCGACGCCCCGGCCGCGGCGTCCGTCGCGGCGCGGCTCGCGCCGAGAGCCGCGTCATCGCGGCCAAACTGATCCGCCCAGTTCCATCTGCAACCCGCTCGGGTTTTTGCCATGAGCCCGAGCGACGAAGCCATGGGGGCGATGGGTCGGCATCCGCCGGCTGGCACCTGCAAAGGGACGGTGTGCATCTGGGCGAGTTGAGCTGGCCGGAACTTCCACTGCTCACACAAGTGCTGGAAACGCTCCAAGACAGCCAGAGCTGGACCAGACACTCAGGCCCAGCGGCATGGCCTCCTGGCGCCAGCAGCCCCGCGGGGCCGCCGGGCCCCCATGGGAGGGGGGCGAGGGCCTGAGCGCCGAAGTTGACACAGGTCAGCTTGGAAGCCCTGCAGAAACGTTGGCCTTCGCCCCAGATGCCTTCCCAGAGCACCCTCTGAAAATGTGCCGCGTCATCGTCGCGGCGCGAGGGGTCCAGCGAGGTGCTGACCTGACGGAATGGCCGCTCTCGAGGCGTCGTCCAACTGCGCGCGGGCTTGGGGCGACTGCTGAGGCAATCGCGCAGCCACTTCGCAACGGCCTCGCGCGCGCCCGAGGCTCTGCTCCTCGAGGTCAGCCCGCTTGGCCAAGCAGCTGGCTACAGCCCTGAGCATCGGGGCGCGCGTCGCGCCAGTTGCGCGAAGACCGCCTGGAGGTAGTCGGCTTCTGCAGCGACAGTTCGTTGCGCGGCAGCTGCCAGTTGGTTGGGGATACCCTTGCCCGCGACGAGGCGCTCTGCGGCGGCGGGCCCGAGGTAGGCAGCAGCATTTATCACCCCGCCCGGCAAAATTGGCAGGCTCGTCGCGCGCAGACGCCGGGGCCACATCCGCTGCGTCGAACGCGCGGCCAAGAGCGTAGTGACATCGGCCAAGAGCACGATGCCCTCCCAAAGAAACCGAGGAACATTCGAGGGCGCCCTCCCCCAGGATGAACAATAACATCCACCGATCGCGAAGAACGTTGGGCCACCCTCGCCGAGTCGACCTCGATCCAATATCTGAGTCTGGCCGTTGTGAAAGAGAAGGGCTGCCGCGCCCCCCATCCGCGGGGCGCGTCGCTCGCTGCGCGGGGGTGGCCGACGCAGCCCCGGGCGCTGCTTTTCCCAGGCGGGGTCGTCGACCACCTCCCTCGAGACTCACGTTCTGACCTTCCGAGGCAGCAGCGAGTGAGCGACGATCGAACCTGGCAGAGCCAAAAACTGATGAGCCACCCGCCCCGCCTCGCCGAGAACCATCGCCCATCGAGTGCGTCGCGAGCAATGGGAATGCCGAAGGAGGGTGGCCGACGCAGCCCCCGGCGCTGCCGCGCCAGGGCGGGGTCGTCGATCGCCCCCCCGGGGCGAGGCAAAGCAGCTGGGCCGTCGCGCGTCGGCGCGGCGTCTGTCATGCTCCGAACCTACCAGAAGTGGCAATAGCTACGATGATCAATCGTGGCCAATTTTGCCGCGCAGGTCAGTGGGGCAAATGCACCGCGCGCGCCGCGTTCGCGCGGCCGACGCCCGCGCTCGCGCTGCGCCGCCCCCCGAGCGGAGATGATCGGTAAAGCGGGCGGTGGAGCAGGCCGCGCGCGGGCAATATTCATCGCCGCGTTGCCCCAATTCTGTCGGGGCCGGCCTCTCTTCCGAGGCCCCCATGCCGATCTCGCGTCAACACTGCCAAGTTCAAGCGCAGACACGCGCGCGGGGCCCGCGCCGAGGCGCCCCGCAAGCATGCCAATGGCGTGCATATGCTGTTTACTGTTTTCTCGCTCAGAGGCCGCTGCTCCGCAATGCTCGAGACGGCGCCGGTCGAGATTCTACTAGGGCGTGAACGTGGCGCGCGGGAAATCCCCCTTAGACACTGGGCTTGGCATGAATATATATATATATATATATATTCTTCGCCGTTCCACCTTGGATATATGACAAGAACGCGTTGATGGAGAAGCGACGCGCGCGTTAGACGCACGGCGCCGGGCCAACGCAGCGCGCGACCAGATCGCGCTCCACGTTGAAATATTGCCCGGCCGCTCCGAGCCCACGCTGAGCCCCGCGCTGCCCCGGCCATCTGCGGGCGGCAACGCGCCTGGATGCGCTGACCTGCCAGTTTCTTTCACCGCCTCACCTGCGCCATTGACGAAATGAGCTCCTGCGCGAACACGCCGCTCAAACTCGCGCCAGGTCAGTCTCAGTCCATAATCAAATCATGGATGGTGAGTGGATTGGCGTCGAGCAGGAGGGCGTCGTCAGCGCGCGCGAACTCCCAGACAACATGCGGCTGCAGGGCGTTCGGCATGCGCACCTGGAACATGCAAAACGCGTCTGTCAACAACGCTGCCATTGCGATTCTAAACAGAAGCGGCGAGAGTGGACATGCTTGACATATCGCAATTTGCGGGGATCGCCCCGCCGACGAGGTGCCTGAATCGGAGGCGACAAAAAACCGATCATGATACATCGACGAAGCCATGTCGACAAATATCGAGGGGCGCCCAAACCGCAGCAGCGAAGTTGCCATGGCGCTGGGCGATGCTGAGCCGAAGGCCTTCGCGCAGTCCAAAGCGAATCGCAATGGCCAGCCTTGCTTCGTCGTCCAAGCGCCCTCGATGATTCGTCTGGCCAAGAAGAGCGTCGCTGGTTCCTCGGCCAGATCTGCAGCAAAAGCGGACGCGCCAGATGCGATATTCGGCCACTGTTTGCTTCAACCTTTCCAGCAATCTCGTAGCGATTACCTTGTATCCTACTGGTAGGAGGTCGATGGGCCTGTAGTTGCCGCGGGCCGACGGGCCGCCCTCAATGCGAATCGCGATAACTCTGGACTCCCGAGCGCATCGGGCGCGCAGCTGTGCGACCGTGCAGCGTTGGAAAATCGGGTGGTCCAAGAAATTGCGGTCTCCCCATCTTCGGTCATCCCCTTTTCAAAACACCGGCGGCGCTTGATCGAGTCCAGCTGCGCGCCCGTTCTTCAGCTTCTGCGCGGCCCCCTGGATGCTGACTCTGCAATGGCGCCGAGCCTCGCGGGTAGTTCGGGGCGGGTGCCCTCGCTATTCGGGAGGGCCGCGGTCG